ACAACATGAATCAAACATGCACTTTATTTATTTACACTAAATATCAAAAGTACATCAAATCAGATTGAAGCTAAAGGCATACAAAACTGTCTAACACTAAGATGGCTGATTGTTGAATCATGAATTTGTAATTTGAGCCTATTCTCTCAACTTGAATGCAAGGTGTTTAACCAATGCCTATTAGGTAGTCAGTAGTTTAGAATTTCAGATTTGAATAAAATGTAGTATTCGGTTAATCAGATAAGAGATGGTTGGTTTAGTATTAGTAGTTGTTACCTAAATCCTCATGGGAACGATACTCTACTCATCTCTTTATTACTTGAGCGGCTAGTGCACTTGCTAGTGTCACAATGACCCACCAAGTTTTTGGCACCGTCGTCGGGGATTTATTGTAGCAATATTAGGAACCATTGGCCTTTGTTAATCTGATTTGTAGCTTTGCATTCATTGCTAGTTTCCAATTGTGCATCTTAGATTTCAGATTTGAATGCAATAGCTTTCATTGATGGAGCCGGTTTTCTTTCTTAAATACTTGATTGCTTCATCTTTGATTTTAGTTTCAGTTTAGTTAATGTAGTAAATTTCTGGTTCTATGATCTCAAAAGAAAAAAAAAATGTATAAACATCAAAAGAGTGCAGATCTGATTACTTATACTTGTCATTTCTGAATTCAGCAATTAGATCTGAACTCACACAAAAAAAGATTTTGTTATAGTTCAGTAGTATAGTTGCATTACTTCTTTGTGTTCTAGTTTTATTTCATCTCAAAAAAAAAAATTATATCAATGTATGGTTGAATGATGCATAGGCGGCTAGTACAGTTCTGATTGCATTAATTGTAATTTATAGAATTCAGACCTGAACTTATTGCTATAATTGCTTGCATATTTTGTGATTCAGATCTGATCACACTACTTATCACTTTTACAATCAGATCTGAACACATAATGAAGCATTTTTGTTCTAACTTGGTGCTTTCAATTCTGAGTTTTAGATTTAAAATCAGATCTGTATTCACCATGATTTCAGATCTGAAACCCACATCAATTCGGAGATCTAGCAGGTCTTATGGGAAGCAAGTTAGAACAGACCTAATATATAGACCTGAAACTTTGCTACCATACATAACCACTGATTTCAGATCTGTATACACTTGCACTCCTAGCTGAATTTCCATATCAGCCCTGACCTAGCATCAAGTAGCTGCTGTATTTGATTGATCAAGTAGCTACTGTAAAATCTCACAATAACCACTGATTTCAGATTGAGTAGCTGCTACTCAAAAGAGTGCAGTTCAGATCTGATTACTTTACTTGTTACTTTTGAAATCAGAGATCAGATCTGAACTCATTATTGCTATAGCTTCTGCTCTTTTTGGTCTGCATATCTTATGAAAATAATGTGGTTCAGATCTGATTACCTTACCTATCACTTCTGCAATCAGATCAGAGCACATACCGAATCATATTTGTTATAACTTGCTGAGTTTCAGATTTGAAATCAGATCTGTATTCACCTCTGAAACCTACTTCAATTCAAAGATTTAGCAGGTCTTATTAAATCAGAATTGAAAGCAAGTTATGACAGATCTGATTTCGGTATATACAGATCTGAAACTTTGCTACCATGCATAGTATAACCACTGATTTCAGATCTGTATACACTCACTCTCACTGCTGAAATCACATCTCAGACCTGAACACAGTTGTTCTAGCTACTGATTTCAGACCTGTACATTGAATGGCAATAGTATAGCTTCAGTAGCTACTGATTTAGCAATAAGAACAGATTGGTACAAGGAGAAAGAAATTTGTAAATTGCAGTAGCTGCTGAAATTTAAGATTTCAGATCTGAATGTGTAAATGATTTATGCATGTACCCTCATAAATTTCAGATATGAATGTGAAAAAACCATGCACAACATCTGTACTCAATAAGGTTAGTGGTATGAACTCAGATCTGAATATGACTATTCTCAATAGCTAAGATTTCAGATCTGATTTCAGGTCCCTATAATTAATGGCTGCATGCAAGACATACAAGTTGGAACTTAAAGAAGAAGCTTAAAGCTCTTGATTCCAATCCTATTTCAGATCTGGTTGCAGTAGATTTCAGATCTACTTATTGATATTAGGATTGGAATTTTGTATTCTAAATAGTTGCCTTGTACATTTAAGTTAGAGTAGGATCATTAATTGGTTAAATTATTCATATTCTTTTGTGTATACTAGTCTTTTTATTGCTTTGACTTCTACAGTTTATGACAAGCAGACATGAACTGGAGGAAATTATTTATGATCCGGAGATTGAAAGGACTCTCCGTATCCGCCTAAGAGCTGCTAGACAAGTTAGACCGGAAATAGAAGAGATGGCTGAACCCAGAACCATGATGGACTATGCCAAGCCCACCCTAACTGGGGCTGCTTCAAGAATTATAAGACTGGCCATTGCTGCTAATAACTTTGAAATCAAGCTAGCCATAATTCAAATGATTCAAAACATAGTTCAATTTTGTGGTATGGTTCACGAAGATCCAAATTCCCATATAGCCAATTTCTTGGAAATTTGCAACACCTTCAAGCATAATGGGGTAAGTGATGATGTTATAAGGCTGAGGTTATTCCCATTCTCATTGAAAGATAAGGCCAAGGCTTGGCTAAATTCATTACCAGCCAGATCTATAGCCACTTGGGATGAGATGGCTAGCCGATTCCTTTCTAAATACTTCCCTCCCTCGAAAACAACAAAAATGAGAAATGACATTACCACTTTCTTCCAACAAGAGGAAGAATCACTCTATGAGTCATGGGAACGTTATAAGGATCTGCTGAGGAAGGTTCCTCATCATGTCCTTCCGATATGGCAGCAAGTGCAAACATTTTACAATGGTCTAACCGATTCAAATAAGACCATCTTAGATGCAACATCCAAGGGCTCCATCAATAATAAGACCCCTGAAGTGGCCCATGCACTCATAGAGGAGATGACAACCAATAATTACCAATGGCATTCAGAAAGAACACAAGTAAGAAAGCAGGATGGTCTTCATAATGTTGACTCATACACGACTCTATCTGCTCAAATTGGTGCACTCAGCAAGAAATTAGACGAGATGCAGATGGCAGCCATGCATGTACAGCCCGTGACATGTGATTTGTATGGGGGAGGCCACATCAGTACTGAATGCCAAGTTGGCAATCAGTTTAGGTAGTCTACAGAACATGTTGATTTTGTCGGCAACCTTCCAAGGCAGCAAAGATATCAGTACCATCATGCCTTTCAACCGGGATGGAAAGGACACCCGAACCAATCATGGCAGAATCAGCATGCACCAAAGCCCTTCCACCAAAATTTTCATCAGCCAGAACAAAAATCTAACCTAGAGGAGCTGATGACAAAGTTCATAGCCAGTGCTGAAACCAGGTTTCAAAACCAAGAGGCTTCAATAAAGAACTTGGAAAATCAGGTTGGGCAGTTGGCACAATTGATCTCAACAAGGATACCGGGCACACTACCAAGCAATATAGAGGTGAATCCACGAGAACAAGTGCAAGCTATCACTTTAAGAAGTGGTATGGAGCTTCCAAAAGTAGAGAAGAAAGCAAGGGCTGAACCCAAGGCAGATGCAACCCTTGAAGCCGGGAACCAGAAGAAGGAGCAATCTGAACCGTATCAAGAAATGCACTAACAGCCACAAGTTCCCTTTCCTAATCAGCTGAAGCAACACAAGCTTGAAAAGGAATTCGGTAAGTTCCTTGAGATATTTAAAAGTTTACATATTAATATTCCTTTTGCTGATGCTTTAGCCCAGATCCCCCATTATGCAAAATTTTTGAAGGAATTATTGGCAAACAAAAGGAAATTGGGAGATGTGGCTACGATTGCTTTAAATGAAGAATGCTCGGCAATCCTTCTTAACAAGCTGCCTCAAAAGCTTAAAGATCTAGAGAGTTTCACTATCCCTTGCACTATAAGCAGTTTAAAAATTGAAAAAGTATTATGTGATTTGGGAGCAAGCATAAATTTAATGCCATACTCGGTTTTCAAAAAATTGGGATTAGGAGAGCCCCAATCCACCAGAGTAGCATTGCAATTGGCTGATAGGTCCATTAAGCATCCTAGGGGGATTATAGAAGATGTGTTGGTTAAAGTAGATAAATTCATTTTTCTCATTGATTTCATTGTATTAGACATGCAAGAAGATGTGGATATCCCTCTCATCCTAGGGAGACCTTTCCTGGCTACCGGGAAGGCAATGATTGATGTCCAACAAGGACAACTCAGCCTTAGGATACAAGATGAGGAAATGATTTTTAAAATGTTTGATGCCATGAAACATGCACCATCTAGTGATGACTCTTGTTACATGATTAATGCTATTGATGATGCAGTTAATGATTGCTTCCAGGTGAGTAGATCGGCTAGCCCTCTTGAACCCTGCCTACAACAAGGAGAAGTTGAAATGGGAGAAAATGAGGAAATAAACCTCATGATGGCATACTTGAATGATAAGCCTCAGTTCAAAGGGAAGGGATTTCTCAAGTTAGAAAACTTAGGCAAAACTCCTATACCAACAGGGAAGCCATCATCTCAAGAACCCCCACCCTTGAACTGAAGCAATTACCACCCCACTTGGAGTATACTTTCCTTGAGGAACCATCAGCTCTCCCTATAATAATTTTCGCATCCTTGAACCCATTGCAAAAAGAAAAAATGCTAAGAGTGTTGCGGTAACACAAAAATGCACTAGCTTTGAGGGTAGAGGACATCAAAGGCATTAACCCATCAATATGCACACACAGATTTTTGATAGAAGAGGACAGCAAGCCCTCGGTTCAGCCCCAAAGATGCCTAAACCCAAACATGAAAGAGGTGGTGAAGGCTGAAGTCATTAAGCTTTTAGATGCCAGGATCATTTATCCTATCTCTGACAGTTCTTGGGTGAGTCCCATACAAGTCGTGCCCAAGAAAGGGGGTATGACCGTTGTCCCAAATGAAAAAAATGAACTCATCCCGACTAGAACTGTCACCGAGTGGCGAGTATGCATTGACTATAGGAAATTAAATGAAGCCACCCGTAAAGACCACTTTCCTCTCTCATTCATGGACCAAATGTTAGAGAGGCTAGCCGAGCATGAGTATTATTGTTTATTGGATGGATATTCATGGTACAATTAGATCCCAATCGCACCAGAGGACCAAGAAAAGACCACCTTCACTTGCCCTTATGGTACCTTTGCATACTGAAGGATTCCATTCGGATTATGCAATGCCCCAGCAACCTTTCAACGGTGTATGAAGTCCATGTTTTCTGATATGGTTGAAAAATTTATTGAGATTTTTATGGATGATTTTTCAGTTTTTGGTTCTTCATTTGATGCATGCTTGAATAATTTGGAACAGGTGCTTAGAAGATGCAAAGAGACACATCTAGTGCTGAATTCGGAAAAGTGTTATTTTATGGTGCAGGAAGGCATAGTGCTTGGACATAAGATTTCACAGAAAGGTATAGAAGTTGACAAAGCTAAAGTGGAGGCAATTGAAAAGTTTCCACCCCCATCATCTGTCCGTTCTATAAGAAGCTTCTTGGGGCATGTTGGATTCTATAGAAGATTTATTAAGGACTTTTCAAAGATAGCCAAGCCATTGTCTACTTTGCTTCAGAAAGAAGTGGCTTTTGAATTTTCAGCTGAATGCCTACAGGCATTCAATACTTTGAAAGACAAGTTGATCAATGCACCCATCATGATAGCGCCAGATTGGACACTTCCATTTGAACTGATGTGTGATGTGAGTGGTTCAGCTGTAGAAGTTGTTTTAGGACAAAGAGTGAACAAACATTTTCAGCCGATTTACTATGCTAGCAGAACCTTGAATGAAGCACAACTAAATTACACAACAATAGAAAAAGAGCTACTAGCGGTAATCTTTGCACTTCATAAGTTTCATTCATATCTGATTTTGTCTAAAATTATTGTGTACACAGACCACTCAGCATTGAGGCACTTGCTTACCAAGAAAAACGAGACATGAAGGGTACCGCAAACCTAGCTGCTGATCATCTCTCCCAGTTGGACAAGGCAGGCTCAAAAGAAGAGAAAACCAGCAACATTTGAGAAGAATTTCCTGATGAACAACTGTACTCCATTCAGGACTATTCATCTCCTTGGTATGCTGATTTTGCAAATTATCTTGCTGCACAAGTCATCCCTCCTAACTTTTCATATCAACAGAAGAAGAAATTCTTTTCTGATGTAAAATACTATTTGTGGGAGGAACCCTTTTTGTACAAATTATGTGCAGATCAAATCATAAACAGATGTGTCCCCGAGGAGGAGATGGAATCGGTACTCCAATTTTGCCATGATAGAGAAGTAGGAGGACATTTCAGAGCTAGCCGCATTATAGCTAAGGTCTTGCAATCAGGTTTTTATTGGCCGACATTATTCAAAGATGCCCATAGGTATGTGTCCACATGCGACAAATGCCAAAGAACGGGTAACATTTCTCGACAGAATGAAATGCCACTTTCTAATATTCTGATCTGTGAAATTTTTGATGTCTGGGGTATAGATTTCATGGGGCCCTTCCCGAATTCTTTTGGGAATAAGTATATCCTTGTGGCTGTTGATTATGTGTCTAAATGGGTGGAAGCCATGGCTTTACCCACAAATGACTCTAGGAGGGTAGTACATTTCCTAAAAAAACTTTTCACCCGATTTGGCACTCCTCGAGCTATAATTAGTGATAGGGGAACTCATTTCTGCAACACCCGCTTTGAAAGGTTAATGCAGAAATATGGAATTAAACATAAATTGGCTACCCCTTATTACCCTCAAACTAGTGGCCAAGTGGAGTTGGCTAACAGGGAGCTCAAAAGAATTCTAGAGAAGACCGTAGCATCTGCCAGGAAAGATTGGGCCATCAAATTGGATGATGCATTATGGGCATATAGAACTGCATATAAAACACCCCTTGGCATGTCCCCATACAAGTTGGTCTTTGGTAAAGCATGTCATTTACCGGTCGAGTTAGAGCATAAGGCCTATTGGGCACTAAAAGTCTTAAATTTTGACATACAGGCCACGGGTGCTAAGAGGCGGTTGCAATTGAATGAGATTGATGAATTCAGACTTGCCGCCTATGAGAATGCTAGGGTTTACAAAGATAGAAATAAAAGGTGGCATGATAAGAACTTGCTGAGACAGGATTTTCATGTAGGCCAGCAAGTGTTATTGTACAATTCCCATCTCTGCCTATTCCCAGGCAAGCTGAGATCCAGGTGGTCTGGACCTTTCACAATTACAAAGGTTTTTCCCCATGGGGCTGTAGAGGTCACCCACCCGGTTCAAGGCACATTTAAAGTAAATGGTCAGCACCTGAAACCATATTTGGTGGGCGGCATAGTGCCCCCTCCATCCACTCTCTATCTAGATAACCAGTAACCCTCCAGCATTATAATATTCGGATACTTAGTCATAAACTATCTGACTTGCATATTGTTACAGCATTTCCTTGTTTTTGATTATTTTTAGGATGTTAGTTAGAATAATAAAGCTTCTAATCTTCCTTCTTGTTTGGAGTGATTTCTAGCAGAAAAGGCTTCCTACTAAAAGAACCATTGCACAATTTAATCTTTAGGAAGTCCTCTACACCACTCTCTTCACTTGGTATTGCTGTTGTTGGATTTATTGTTACTCCCTAACACTAGGAACATTGGGGACAATGTTCATCTTAACTATGGGGGAGTTAGGCTGAGGCCAGGGTGTGGGGTTGGAACCATGCACCTCAATCACCCCAACATACACATGCAGGCAATGCCATGACCAATTAGACTAAAATCCCCCAAGTTCATTGTTGTTTATTAGGTGAATTTAAAGAGGGAGTATAAAGAGTTGAGGGAGACCAGCGTTTGTATTAGTTTTTATTCTTGAGAATGATCCAACTTAACACATGCATGAGGTTAAGGGGGCTGAATATGTCTTTCATCATGACTAGCCCTAACTACCTTCATGTGTATGAAAGCACTTGATTTCATCATTAATAGTCTGTCGAGCTAGTTCACTTCTGAACTGCTGATGCACGAGATTCAACAAATGCAAAAAGGATAAAGCCCAATTGACTCCACTATTCCGAGCTGAATAGTAAAACTAGCAGCTTGGAATATGAGTCTTGTTAGCTGCCTCAAGCCTATGACTGTGAGATGGAGCATAAAATGCACTCACACCAAAAAAAAAAGTGTGAGATAGAGCATAAAATGCATTCACACTAAAAGAAGAAGAAAAGGGTGAAATGGAGCATAAAATGCACTCACACCTAGAAAACAATTAAGGAAAGAAAAAGAAAAATTGGTGACGGCTGAGGTTCAAAGAGACAAAATGCAGTTGAACTCTCAATGAGGTGCAGTTATAGATTCAAACCTAGTTCAAAGTAATAGTTAATTTTCGCAGTCAAGGAGATGATCTACATATTGAACGGGAGTGAAAGTTGGATCTTGAAGAATGGTGAGAATAAAGGGGGGATGATCAGTTTATGGTTGATGTCTTTGGTTGAGGACAAGCAAAACCTTAAGTGTGGGGGTATTTGATGAGTACATGGTTTACCTACAATTTATGAAGTTTTATGCATGATTTTATGATGGTTTGTTTAAGTTTCACCCCATTTTTAGATTTCAGGAAATATTTCAAGGAAAGCAATTCAAGAAAAAGAAGGCATAAAACAAAAAAATGAGCCAAAATTAAATTAATTTAGCCCAGCCCCAGCCAAGAGAGCAATAGAGGATCACTCGGCCCATGTAGCCCATGCTACACTCTTTGGGAGAACCCAAAGAGAGAGCCTACCAAGAAAGCTAAATTCGGCCCAGCAAAGAGGAGACCCATTTCAGCTCAAGAGTAGCCTAGATTGCAGCCTAAAACAGTTCAAAATTCATCTAAGTTTCAGCCCAAAGTGCAGCCCAAAGGGAGGTAGGGGCGGCAACTTATAGAGGCTTCAAGAGAAGAAAGGGGGGCAACACTCTAGAAGGTTCAAGAAGAGAGAAGGGCAACCAATTGTAGAAGCTTCAAGAGAGGCCTCTAGACTCCTTGAAAGCCTATTTAAAGAGGTCTCTTGAAGGGGGAAGGTGTTCAATTGCCTAAGTTCAAGACTCTCTAGTCCCTTGGGTTCGAAATTCAAGAAGAGGAGAAGAGAGAGCTAGGCGCAAGAAGAAGGAGCTGAGGAGATCCAAGTATCCAAGAGAGAATAAGGTGAGTTCGAAGGAGGGGAAGCTTGATTGAGAGATCTAGGTTACATTCTTACTCAGTTTTTGTTTTCTTTGAATTCGAATTCAACTTTAGATCATGTAGTTTCTCTTCGTTTCTTTCTTTCTTTCTTGCTGTAATGGAGATTAAATGTTGTAAATTCAGATTATGTAATTAAGTTTTCTTGAATCATTCGAATGGATTAGATCCAACTTTGATGTTTCTTGATTAAAGAATTGATTGTAGAACTGATGGGCAGAATTGTTCTCTTACAAATCCAGATATGAGATTTGCAATGTCTGAATTGCTTAAGAAAGAATTCAGACATTCATTATTCAGCTTGGCCGATCTGTTCTAACCTCTTGGAATTTCTAGAGTG